CCGCCTGCGCCGCGGCACCGACGGCCTCCTTCGCCGCCGGGGGAGGCTTGGGCGCCTCGGGCGGCGAGTTCGCCTTGAAGATACGCTCGTAGTTCTGCACGTCAGCTAGGTCCCTACCTGGAAATGACAGCTGTGCTTGTCGGGGCAGAAGCGAGTTGGCGATTGAGCTAACCCAGACTCTGCGCCTGGCTGATTATACAGTCACTGCGGGACAGCGAATCGTGCCAGCCAAAGCCTCGGCCAACTCGCTACTGCTCCTACGGAGCAGAACCCGGTACTCACCGCCATGATCGTCTCCATGTTGTCCGTCTTCTTCGTGTTGAGGATAAGGTGCGCCTCCTCCAGGCTCATGCCGAGCTGGCTCGTGACCTTGGAACGGGAGCGACCGCCGCCAGACGAAGCCTCAGCAACGGCGTCGGGCTTGTGTCGCGCGTTCCTCGCTGCTTGTTTTCCGGCAGCAGCCATCGCCTTGCCGAATATCCTGATGCTGCTCGTCACGAGCTCCGCGATCGCGCGGGGAGCGGACTGTGGTTAGCTACGAGGCACATAATTCAAGCTGAGCTGGGAGAGGATGGAGATGAGGGGAGCTTTGAAGTGCCATGCCTCGAGAACACTGCAAGAAGGAGACGGAGCGCCTGCGAAGCTGGGTTGTCGTCCGCTACCTCTGGGGGGAAGGACCGCTCGACGCCGGGTAAAGCACAAGCGGCTGGGCTATCCTCTTCTTCCGCAGCTTGAGCAGTCACTCCCTTCCTTCCTCCTCGTCGCCGAGCTTTCAATGCGAGAACGAGAAATCCATGTGATCACGGAGGAGCAAGGCAGAGAACGCTCGAACGCGCATACAGAGCTCACTCAGCCCTGAGTATCCGAGTGGGCCCCCCAATCCTGCCTTCTTTTACTGCCGGCGTCCATATCTGCTGCCAGAATTTGCAGCAATCTCATCTCCATCCCCCAGAGTCCAGTCGTGTGCAGTCGGCGGCAAAGACTCACCATGTTGATCGAAGTGGTGGAGGTCGGGGAAAAGTTGAGGAACAAGAAGGGGTAACGCTACGAGAAGCGTTTGGGTTGCCGGTACGGAGGGCGGTACGAGTCCGGAAGAGGAGGGCGAGTAGGAGGTCGGCTCGAAGACGATGCGGGATGCAAGAAGCTGGTAAGGTGTTGATTAGATCCGAGAAGCACTGCAACACCCAACTCGACCGGCTTGACTTTTCTGACTCCAGCCGCCGCCGTACCTCCGAGCCCCGCCCGCCCTGAGTGCGCACGCGAGACGAAGAGGGAGGTGGAAGCCACAACCCTCGGCTATTTCGGAGAATCCCCCAGCCGTCACGTGACTCGCCACTTCATCTCGACCTCCACTTCTGACGTCCACCCAGATTTGGGCGATCTGCATTACGGGGCAGGTCGGTGGCCCAAGGAACAATGAGGTATTGTGGAATCACACATGCATGAGAGGGAGTTGGCGGCGCAGATGGGCGCGGAGCCATGTATGTATACTTGGTACTACGTAAATGGAACAATAGATGGGCGCCTGTACTGAGAGGATGAGATGGTGTCCTATATGTCACTGTGAGGTCCGGAACGCGGGACTGCTGCGGGGACTGCACAAACTGCCCTACTGCCTGCAGGGAGTGGCGTGTTGACTTTTATGGGTATTGCTGAGTTGCGGAGTGGGACTGCTGATGTCGGTGGGTAATGTTTGACCGGTCCTTCGAGCTAATCTCTTGCTGGTATGGCAGTGACTTGGCGATGGGAAACTGGCAAGCAGCCGGTCTCACGGGCTCGCTGTCGCTCGCCCGTCGCCTCTCGCCGCTTAGATCATCTGCCAAGCAAGCTTGCTCTTCTGGTTCCAACCTCCCTCCCATCCGCTTCCGTCGGGGTCGGCCTCGGAGACCTGCTTGCCGGTCCAGCGCGCGAGCTGGCGGTCGAACCAGGCAATTTCGGGCTGGTATCGGTTGTCCGCCTCGCGCTCCGCCTCCATGGCTCCGGGACGGACCGAGCGCGCGTACTGCACCAAGCTAGCGAGCCACTGGCACACTTCGGGCGGCGGGGCCTGGGACGGGTCGCCGCTGATCTCGCCGGCGAGGATGAAGATGGCCTCGAGGGCGAAGAGGACATAGTGTCGCGGGCGGGTGCGCTTGAGCTCGTGCGCGAAGAACTCGGAAGGCGTGCGGGCCATCTGCTGGCTCATCGCCTGGCGAGCGTACGTCGTCGCCTGGGCCGGGTCGGCGTATGCGAGGTGCGTCGCGAGCTGAGGTCAGCTAAAACGTCCGCAGCGGTAAACTGATGCGAGAGCGAGCGGAGGGGACACTCACTCCAGCGGCATACCACATGCCGACGTTGTTCGGGTACGTCGATGCGCTCTTGCCCTGCGGGCTGTTCATGAAGAAGTCGGCGTGCTGCTTGAACCAGTCGCGGAGGACGCCGTCGTACTTCTCGCACGGCACCTGACGGAGGGCCTGCGACACGAGGATCATGTAGCGGTCCTGTTCGTCAGCTTGACCTT